TACAGTAAGATAAAGATTTTGTACTTAAGCGGGATTTTCTTCAAAATTGTTGCATCCAGTCTCGAGTTTTTTTGACTAGGTCGTTCAAACAGCAACGAAGGTCCACTATAGGTATACAAAATAAATTTCCGCTTCACTTCCAGTGTGTCTTGATATCATCGCTATCTGACAAAACTTCGTGAAATAATCCGGTTGTTTCAAACTGTGCGGCCATAAGAAAAATTTTGTATGCAAACCAACTCGTTATTAACCATCTCTATGAATATGGCGATAGTCCGAGCTGTCTACGCCCCGTGGTATGCGAAAAATAAAATTGGATTTCATGTCACAGTAATCCATGTTACAGTAAGTTACGAAAAAAAGTTAACGAGAAAGTTTCTTAGAATAGCCCTTAGAATAAGTATTATCAATTTCAACCGGTTTGAAGCACTTTTATTTTTTCATGTATTGAGCCCCTAAAATTATATAAACCCCATTTTAACCTCGAATCCAGCTACCATTGACATTAATAACTGCTCGTGGCAAAATATAAAATCCTCTGAATCACAATAAATTTAATTTCCGACTTCTTTTCGTTATTCGCACCCAGCCGGACTCGAACCCGGGTCGCTGGATTGGTAGTCCCGACCACTAACCACTATACCACGAAATTTGTCGCAGCTTTTTTTGAACTTTTTTGATTGCCTCTAGAGCAGAATTTTATGCTGATTCCAAAAATCGTAAAATCGCCTGTGAAATTTTTAGAAAGAAAGATTCTACGGTCGTTTTTTAGCGGTCGATACAGTATTACGGTATGTTACAGTAGGAAAATCGGAAAAATAATGATACCATCGTCATCGCAAGGGTCGAAAACTTCAGTAACCGTCAAATCATCGCCCAGTAAGGTAAGATACGACAGCTGGACGCGGTTACTTCTAAAACAGTAAATTGTAAAAAAATATACCTTGATGAAGGTTTTGGGAAAAAATATTGTTCGCTTTTGCTTAGCACCTTCCAACAGCCATTTTAGTGCAAAAAACTCAAAATCGATTTTTTTCTATGTCCACGGCTGACGCACTGACTCAGAAATCGTCTTTTAAAAATTTCTCCACTATACTCCCCTAAAATTACAATATTTTTTCACATCCTTGTTCGTTGAACTTAATTTCCCAACTATGCCGTAAACGCGCATTTTTGCCTTCTAGCTGGTTCATCTTTGAGCCCTCAAAAAAATAAAGATACAGTAATTTAGAGGAGAAAAATCTGTATCAAATAAATACATACAATTTTCTCAAACAACAAAAAAATCTTGTAAAACAAAAGAATAAAAAACGCACGAACTTTCTGGACAACCCAACTATTCAACCCTTCCCAAAAATGACTTCCATCCCCAAATGCACCGGAATTTCTTGTCGTTTCTTTCCCTGGGATTGGTTTCTCCTCACCAGAGAACATTGCACTTGATCGCGATTAATCCTTCTTCTCCATTTTCCTTTCATTTCGGTTGCGCAACACCCTCTCAAGTGCAATGTATTGCAGCTCAATTAAGCCGCTTTGATTACTACAATCGAAAGTTTTTTTATTTCCGAAATAAAACTTTCGGAGTAATAGGGACATTAGATTACTCATTACTAATAGCTATAATGGAGATGAGCAGCGGAAACGGAGATTTTTAGGGGGTTTATATTGTTTTAGGGCAAGTAAAAAATTGCTGGAATATCCCCTCAAATTAGGTTTTTAAATCGTGCTTAAAGTAGGCGAGAAAATTAAAATAGAATTGCTGAAAGATCTATAGCATATGCTGAGAGCGCGCTTGTCAAAACAATCGAGATTTTTTGGACAAAAAATAAAAAAATCCTAATTAATGAAGACACGTATTTTACAAAACGAAGATTAAAAAAACTTGAATGTAGTGAGAGAAAGAAGAAGATACTGTGAGAAAATCGGCTACTATATTAGTCATCATCTCGCGATGAACAATATAGTCAGAGAGCCCGAAGGAAACTGGAAATACGGATTTGAACTGGAAAGGAAGAGTTGATTAATATGGAATTTGAAGAGGAAGATGAGTAAAAAATTCCTGGATGTTACTGTAGGGTAAAAGATATAATCGCCAAAACCGCACAGTGCAAAACAAAAATTTTGTTTTTTTTTGCACCGTGCAATTGAAAAAAGTCAAAACATTAAGGGGTTCTACAGTAAAAATAAAGGGTTTTTAAATACTATGAACATACTAAGGACACGCTTAACTAATTTTGACAAAAAAAGCAAAATAAAGTGAGCGCAATGCGCTCAAATTGGCTTCGAAACTTTCTGCACTGTGCAAAAACTAAAAACTTTTTTTCAAAGAGATGCAATCAAAAATTTGCATAATAAACATTGAAAATGAATAAAACTGACAGTACTCTTCTAATATATGCAATAAAACTTTACAAACACCCTGTACAAAATACCAAAATTTTGGCCAAAAGCCACTGCACAGTGCTGCAAACTAAAAACATTTATGGTTTGTGTCAAACATTTAAAATCACATTGTACGAAGATAGAAATTGAGCAGCAGAGCTAACATTACAAACCCGACTCTTTTTTTTCGTAATGTCACTTCCACGTTGACCTTGCAAACAAAGTTCAATAGAGTATTGAACATAACCAAAGGTGAGCCACTTTTTTCTGCCCCCATTTTTCTGACGTCCCCTGTTCTTTTGTGTTTTGACATAAATTCGGAAGCCGAGATAAAGATCAAACAAAATATCCGAGGGAAATTACAAAGCGGAGGGCTTTATGACGTCATCCGCCTTTCCGATGGGTATCAATGTTTTTAGGCGATACCTGTCAAAGACGATGTTGGATAAGGTCGGGTTGGCGGCTATTGGGAAAACTGAGCACTGGCTGTAATTTAAAACACGATTTCTGACTCGGTGAATTAGCCGTGGACATAGGAAATTTTCGATTTTGAGATTTACAGCTGGATATGACCGAACCCATCATAGAAGTGTGTCCCTGAAGCCTTTTGCCCTAATTCTCCCGTTAACCTAGTTTTATTTACAATTTAAGCAATTTACAGTAACGTCAAATAAGTCAAAATTGAGAAGATACAGAGCCGTAAAACTGTTACCATGCATGTTTTTGGGCACTGGGGATCCAACGGAGGTGGTTTTGGGTCGAAAGGATTACTGTAACATAGCAAACTTTCGCTTCAGCCGCACAAAATCGGCCGTAAAAAAGTTGTTTCTGAAAACCCACAGCTGAATTTTTGATATGTTGATCAGCATAAAATTCTGCCTTAGAAACATTAAAAAAAAGTCCAAAAATGCGGGGGGCTATTTTCGTGGTATAGTGGATTTTGACAAAATCTACTAATCTGACGGCCCGAGTTCGAGTCCGGGTGGACGCAAATCGCTTATAATTGGTCGGGAATGACTTTAAAGGCGCGGATATAGAAGACTGAGTTTATTTCAGGCGAGTTTGATAAGATTCTGGCAGTTTTCACATTTTTTGGTGGAAAAAAGGCGAAAATACAACTTTTTGACAAATCGTATTTTATACGGCTGTTTTGCGTTCATGACAGGATAAGAACTTATATGTGGTGTTTTTAAGGTGTTTCCAACAAGTAGAAACCATTTTCTGAGTATTTAGATATTACACTAGGTACCTGTTAATTTTGTCTCTTTCAGGCATCTGTAGTAACGAAATTTGGCTAATGACAACGTAATTCACTGTTTTACGACCATATTTCACATGTTTTTCAGAAAATGGTTCATCATCGAAGTAATTTCGCTTTATAGAAAAATCGATGAAATGCGTAGAAAATTTCATTTTCAAACTAGATTTCTTGTGGTTACCCGTCAAAGAATTTAAATTTTATGCCAGTTATAACCTTTGCAGACAATTTGTCAAGTCAGAGCGAAAAAAATTACAACCTGGAAGGTCCATGCACTGCTTGCTTATCAGATGTCAAGTACAATATTAAAAAATTTTTTTTGACGGGTTTAATTGCCGAAAAACCCTTCAAACGACTAAATATAAGGTCTTATTCTGTCATGAACGCAAAACAGCCGTGTAAAATACGATTTGTCAAAAAGTTGTATTTTCGCCTTTTTTCCATCAAAAAATCTGAAAATTGCCAGAATGTTATCAAACTCACCTGAAATAAACTCAAGCTTCCATATCCGCGCCTTTGAAGTCATTCTCGACCAATTCTAAGCGATTTGCGTCCACCCGGACTCGAACTCGGGCCGTCAGATTGGTAGATTTTGTCAAAATCCACTATACCACGAAAATAGCCCCCCGCATTTTTGGACTTTTTTTAAATGTTTCTAGGGCAGAATTTTATGGTGATCAACATATCAAAAATTCAGCTGTGGGTTTTCAGAAACAACTTTTTTACGGCCGATTTTATGCGGCCGAAGCGCAAGTTTGCTATGTTACAGTAATCCTTTCGACCCAAAACCGCCTCCGTTGGATTCCCAGTACCCAAAAACATACCTGGTAGCAGTTTTACGGCTCTTTATCTTCTCAATTTTGAGTTATTTGACGTTACTGTAAATTGCTTAAATTGTAAATAAAACTAGGTTAACGGGAGAATTAGGGCAAAAGGCTTCAGGGACACACTTATATGATGGGTGCGGTCATATCCAGCTGTAAATCTCAAAATCGAAAATTTCCTATGTCCCGGCCTTGCACACGGCTGATTCAGTGAGTCAGAAATCGTGTTTTAAAAGACATTCTGGGCCCGCGGTATAGCTACTGCCTACATAACACCGGTTATTCAAAATTTTTTGGAGATTTTTTGAGGAAAAAATCAAAAAATCTCAAAAAATAGGCCTTTTGAGTTTCCAATTTTGGCATCAGTTGGCATATAGGGATCTAATAATGATCTGAGGCATCAACAAAAAAATTAAGTCGTATATCACATCGAGCACTGAGATATAACACTTTAAAATTCCAAGAGTCCCTCAAAAAATGCAATTTCTTTGACGGAATAAATTAATTTATTGAATGCACCGAAAACTACAACGTTTTTACTGGGTGACCTTGATGTAGTCGACCAACATCTGGCCTGGTAATGGGGCAGTAACAGCTCCGGCATCATGAATATTGGGGAAGTTTCCACCGACAGCCAAATTCAAGAGGACGTAGAAGTTCTTTTGGAAGACGGGCAGTGGAGTGATGTCGAAGACCATGTATTGGATATCGTCGATGAACATCTTGATCTCCGATTGACTCCAAGTGAGTTTGTAGACGTGGAAGTCGGTGGTCAAGTCGTTGGGAGCGACGTAATTGGTTCCGTATTGGGCATGTTGGCCGTTGTTGCTCCAGTGGAAGGTGCCGAGGATCTCTTTGTTCACATTGCCAGCGGCAATAGCATCAGCAACGCCGGCTTCCATGATGTCCATCTCTCCTTGGTCGGGCCAGGTGTTGGATTCGGCGCCGAGCATCCAGAACGCGGGCCACAGACCGTTGGCCAGGTTGGGCAGCTTGATTCTAGCTTCGATGGTGCCGTACCTAAAGAGATGGCGTGGTAATTTTTGTTTTTATGGCGTTTACTTCTTTTACAAGCCATCATAAGCAATTTGTGGGAGCCTGTGGCCAACTTTTAGCAAGTATGAGTTTTGGCGAACTGCGCCCTTGCATCAGTAAATAAACCAAATCTTATCGTTCATATCTGTTTTGTAAATGTCGTAATGGGACATTTGACCTTTTCAGCCGTGTTAAATTTCCGTTAAACGTCTCTAGACAAATTTCTTAGTCGGCAAGCTGCGCCCTCGGTTAATCCCATAGTCGACAATTCAACAGTTTTGGTCGTCGAATATTCTTCTATGTGATGTAGTGGGTTGAAAAAAATCCAGTTTCCAAAATTTTGTATGAACTAGACTTCAGCTGCGGCTAGCTGCGCCCTGACTTACTTGAAGTCAAACTTTCCACGAGTATGGATTCTTCCGGAAGTGAACGAGCATCCATCCACATTCTCTCTTCTTGCCTCAATCACCAAGTTGCCGTTCTCAACTCTCACATTATTGCTGCTGGTCGTATAACACTCCAACTCCGAGTTTCCCCATCCATTGTTGTTTCCGGTCTCAAAATTCCACTTGCTGGTGTCCAAACTGTTGAAGTCCTCTTGCCAAATGACTCCGGCCAACGCCGTCGACACCAAGCAGCAGGCAATGACAACTCTCATTGCAAAGAATCCGAAATTGATGTAGATGGTCCGATTGATCGAGCTTTTATACCGTCAAGATTTGTTGACGGAAAAAGGGGCTGGCCGTGGGTCGGAAGTGGCGGTTCGACGAAACAAAAACGTTCAAACAGTATGAAGCGCCGCAGGCCGATTATTCAAACACAACACGTTCTATTTCGAACGAAAATTTATTTTTTTGGTTTGATTTTTTGACTCTTGCCCTCAGGCATGTCACAAACATTCCGGCGGCTCAGATGTTCAAACAGCAGCGGATTCAACGAATTTTTTAGATTTTTCGAACCTCAATTCTTCGAAAATTTCAGTTTGTGGGCGAGAAACAGAAATGCAAAAATTGCTATTCAAATCCAAAGGATTTTTGATATTTTACCAGGAATCAAATTGTGCACACAATAGTAATGTTGTTTGTGATTACAAAATTTTCGGAATGATCTTCATTGGTTATTGCGGAGATTCGAAGAACTCACATGTGTTTTTGTTGATAGGGCAGGAAAAATTTTTGGTGTGGTTTCGAAGTCCGGAAATATTATATCATTGGCTAAAAATATCGTATCCTAAATAAATATGTTTTGTTATTGTTGTAAGCCTTGGATTTTTAGAAAATTTAGGACATACCTGTCAAAGACGATGTTGGATAAGGTCGGATTGGCGGTTATTGGGAAAACAGAGCACTGGCTGTAATTTAGAAGACATTCTGGGTTTGTGCAGTACCTATAACATACAGTAATATTGATTTTTCAAAATTTTTAGAGATTTTTTGAGGAAAAAATCTAAAATCTCAAAAATTAGGCTTTTTGAGTTTTCGATTTTGGCGACACTTGGCACAATGGAATCTCACAGTGCCCAGAGGCATCAACAAAAAAATTAAGTCGTATATCACATCAAGCACTGAGATATAACACTTTTAGTTCCAAGAGTCCCTCAAAAAATGCACTTCCTTTGACGGAATAAATTAATTTATTGAATGCACCAAAAACTACAACGTTTTTACTGAGTGACCTTTATGTAGTCGACCAGCATTTGGGCTGGCAATGGGGCAGTGACAGCTCCGGGATCATAAATATTGGGGAAGCATCCACCGACAGCCAAATTCAAGAGGACGTAGAAATTCTTATGGAAAACGGGCAATGGAGTAATGTCGAAGACCATGTATTGGATGTCGTCGATGAACATCTTGATCTCCGATTGGGTCCAGGTGAGTTTGTAGATGTGGAAGTCGGTGGTCAGGTCGATGGGAGCGACATAATTGGTCCCGTGGGAATGTGGGCCGTTGTTGCTCCAGTGGATGGTGCCGAGGATCTTTTTGTTCACATTGCCGGCGGCAATAGCGTCAGCGGCTCCTGCTTCCATGATGTCCATCTCTCCTTGGTCGGGCCAGTCGGATTCGGCGCCGAGCATCCAGAACGCGGGCCACAGGCCGTTGGCCAGGTTGGGGAGCTTGATTCTGGCTTCGATGGTGCCGTACCTGAAGAGATGGCGTTGTAATTTTTGTTTTTAGTTTTCTTCCTTTACAAGCCATCGTAAGCAATTTGTGGGAGCCTCCGGCCCACTTCTAGCAAGTTTGAGTTTTGGCAAACTGCGCCCTAGGATCAGCGAATAGACCAAATTTTATCGTTCAAATCGGTTTTGCGAATGTCGTAGTGGGACATTTGACTTTTTCAGCTGTGTTAGATTTACGTTAAACGTCGCTAGGCGGATTTTTTGGTTGGCGAGCTGCGCCCTGGATTAACCGCATATCAGCAACTGAAAGATTTTGGTCGGCAAATAGCGTTCTCTGTGGTGTAGTAGGTCGAGAAAAATCCAGTTTTTAAAATTTTGTAGATTCCAAGTGCCGCTAGCTGCGCCCTGACTTACTTGAACTCGAACTTTCCACGAGTATTTATTCTTCCGGAAGTGAACGAACATCCATCCACATTCTCTCTTCTCGCCTCAATCACCAAGTTGCCGTTCTCAACTCTCACGTTATTGCTGCTGGTCGTATAACACTGCAACTCCGAGTTCCATCCAAACCCGGTCTCGACATTCCACTTGCTAGTGTCCAAACTGTTGAAGTCCTCTTCCCAAATGACTCGGGTGGACGCCATCGACACCAAACAGCAGGCAATGACAACTCTCGTTGTGAGAATCCGAAATTTTTGGTCGGGCTTTTACACCGTCAAAATTTGTTGACCGAAAAAGGCCGTGGTCGGAAGTTTATTCATTTTGTTAATTCATTTCTTGAGCAAGTGCTTTCTTAGAATTGCAGTGTAATAAACAGCAATGACTGTGGTGCGATGAGTCAGATAGCAAAGTTTGCAGCGGATTCGGGGCAGTGTTTGTGGAATCTTGACACATCAACCGTTGTTTTGAATTCACTTTTTACTCGATTAAAATCGAAACGATACAACTGTATAATATAATATTATAGTAGTGCTTCCTCTGTTTTTTAGTTCACTCTTCCCATAAAATCTATAAATACTAAGCTTCATTTCGCCTTTCCCTCACGGATATAAACGTTTTATCAGCCCTTGCGTAATGTGCAAATATTATTCATTGGCGCGGTTTACATAACTGTCATTGTGTTTTCTGGAAAAACATCCGGGTGACTGTTTTTGGATTATCATAAATTTTATCAAAATTCTTAAAAAATAAAATTATTTTTTAGGTAAATAAATAAAAAAATCTTATCAAAAAAATAGAGAAATGTCGAAAAAAATCTACAATCATTTTTTCATAAAAAAATAAAAAAAATTTTGTTGAAAAAATAAAAATTTTTTTTATATTTCAATAAATCCCAAAAATGCCTTGCAATATTTTTTCGACTAATTTCCAGCCTCCACTTTAAGATTTGCCTCCCTTTTTGTTCAAATTATAATATTTCGCTGCGTTCAAATTAAGTTTCGGCTCGATTTGAAAGGGAATCCCTTTGTGTATTTCTGAATGGGTTGCGTGATCGACGGCATTCCTATTCAGAATCCCCTCAAGACTTTTTGTTATAATGAAATCGAAAATTGAGGGAAAAGTAAAATTAAAATGAGGGGTTTGACCTTGAAATCGGGCTTAACACGACATATTTTATGATTTGGTATATAAAATTTTACAATTATTTATCGTAGATACCGCTTGAAAAAATTACAAGCTTTTACAAAGCTTGATTTTAATTTTTAAGGAGCTTATGACATTTTATACGATGAAACATGTCCTAGGTTTGGCTTAGAAGGCATAGCCAATAATTTGGCATTGTGCATCAAGCTGAAAAATTGCTGAAAGTAGTCGAAAATGTGCTAGGTTTAGATTAAAATACTTGATAAATTTTTTTATTCCTCGCTGAATCGTTAAGAGACAAGTTATACGATGAAAAATTTTGCAATATTTTCTTGATTCATGTCAGAAAAAAAAAATTTTTTTTAAACGTTGTGTAAAATACGCAGTAAACAACAGGTTAAGTATAAAAATGTCAAAAAGATAAAAAAAATAGAAAAATTTCAACAAAAAAATTATTTTGCTATTATAAAACTAAATTTAACATTAAAAAATTTGTGTAAAATACGAGCGACTCACCTCTCATGTCATTTTCAAATTTTAAATGGCATAAAAATCAAAAAAAAAGTCCCAATATAACTTCAAAAACCCTTCAAAAACAAACCCAAAAACCCGCAAACCCCGTTACGCCTTAAAATTCTTCCCGCTCGTCTTAATTAACCAAGCCAATTAAATCCCGCTAATTCCCGAGCCCCTTTCCGCCCAAAAAAATTCTTTTTTGCGGCATTCTTTGGTGCGCGACAGGTAAGAAGGCGGTGTAAAATCAAAGGCAAGGAATGGGCAAGAAAAGTGGCCAGATCATTTTTTCGGGATGAGAAATGAGTTCTTAAAGTAGCCACTCAACCTTCGGAATAAATTACTGCGGTGAGAAGTGGGGGGAAAGACGGCGGGTTGAGGGGTTTGTAAAAGGGTAAAAGGGTTAGAAATGAAGAGGGTACTGTAATTTTTTGGATGGAAAAGTGAAAAAAGGGTGGTAAAAAGATTTTTTGAGTTTTTAAAATACGACGGCAAAGACAATGTTTAAAAAATTAGAACGCAAAAAATAGTTTTCACAATGATATTACAGTGAAAACTTTTTAAAAAACAATCAAAATCGACCAAAATAAATTTGTAATAGAAAGGTTTTGTTGTGCAGACTTTTCTTTTTACTCTAAATTTGAGTTTTAAACCGCTTAAAATTGTTTGTAATAGAGAGATTTCGTTGTACGAAAATTTCCAAAAAATCCGGAAAATTTCCGGATTTTTTATTTTTTTTGCAAGGAAAATAAAAATCAATGTCCATAAAAGACTATAAAAAATTCAACAGAGATGTGTTTTAATGTTTCTTCCCACCATTACTCATACACACTCAAAAAAAAAGATAAAAATGAGGGTTCTCAAAACAAACCCCACCATTTTAGAGTGGTATTTTTTCGGCATTGTCATGTTTTGTTAATAAACAAGAAGAAAAAATAATTTCTTTACATAAATTTTTGTAGAGTATTTCCTCGTATTTTACATTAAAGAAATTTCAAAAAAAACGGCAGTATGTTTTTTATTGCTCCAAAGTTTTGGCCAAATCCCGACTTTTCCTCACATTATCCGTTCTTCTGAAATCCCTCTGATCTCTTTGCGAAAAGAGCGATGAGAAAATGATCTAATCGTCAAATTTTATGGCCCTTTGATTGGCCAAAAAAGAGGCCAGGTGTGAAGTTCTTTCGAGAGAAACAAAATAAAAATATCACTGAAAAATTCTGAAAGCAAAAAAAAAATAGTTTTGTAAAATACGAATTACCGAATTCTTAAAGAATTACGATCAGAAAATTACAATGTAAAAAATAGTCAAACTTAAAAAAAATCGTCAAGATATCCAGAAAACAAAAAAAATTTTGTAAAATACCGAAGGCGCTTTCCTTAAGTAAATTTTAAAAAAAGTAAAAAAAACTAAAAACTTTGTAAAGTATGTTACTTTTTAAGAATTGAAATTACTTTAGGAACATAAATTCGAAGAAAATTTCAAAAAAATCAACAAATCTTTCTGTTTTTCCCACCATTGAAAAAGTTCGTAAAATTTTTTTTTTTTTTTTTTTTACAGGGTGACCCAAAATAACGGAGACAAAAGATTTCTCGTTTTTTCTGCGACTTATTAAGATTCATGAGTGACTCCTTATTTATACTACAGTACCACGTTAGGGTAGTTTTATATACCGGAAGTTTTCTTGTACGACGCTCTTCTGCCTTGAACGACATCGATATATCCGGTTGACTCGGACCCTTCTGCCCGTGGGGTCTTTTTACAATAAAGCTGCCTTACTCAAAAAAGAAAACTCGGAAGAGGTTGAGATTTGCTGTGATTAATTACCATAATAAGGCCTTTAAAATGAGCAATCGTACTGAGCTTAACTATCGATGGTTCAAAAGTTACAGCCGAGTATTTTCAGGCAGTTGAAGTGCAAAAATCGGCCTTTTTTGAAAATGTAAGCGTAAGAAGGAGTTTGAGTGTTAGATAAGGCAAAATGAAATATGAGTTACTAGAACATGATTAAAGGAACACCATAAAAGCAAAAGAGAAACATTTTGTAACTGCCACGGAATTCCATTTGGTAATCACTAGAATTCTGCCTTATTCTTGCCTTAGGCGAAATACCGGTCAAGCCGGTGACACATAAAGACCGAAAGTGCCCTAGGCTGATTCTCAAGAGTCGTATTCATAAGTGTGCAAGAGCATAATGCACCATTTTTATCTATCATGTCATTCTGTTATCGATAACCCATCTTTCTCAAAGCCGCGTGCCATGGGGAGGTTCTGGGCGAGAAACTTGTAAGGAAAAGCTGTTGCAACCAGCAAGCAATACCAGCTTTTTTCAGAATCATTGTATTAATGAATAAAACACGTACTAGCGGTTTTAGCTTTATTCGAAAAAAACTGAATTTTTTATAGAAAAAACTTGGAAAAAATGGCAATCTTGAATGTTGAGATTGGTACCACCGTAGAAATAAAAACCGTAGCCCAAAAACCTACGCAACTGCTTTCTTAGGGGCATAGTAGTCTAACAAAACAAATGAACTTGCTATTTCTGCAACTGTAGTACAGCCAGGCTCTACGCAAAACACGGGAACCAAACTTGAAGGCCAAAAAACGGCGCAAGGCATCTTTGCTAAGCTGTAACTTTTTTCTGCGTCAAGATGGTTCCACCAAATTTTCGTGGATTATAGAGGAGGTGTTATAGAATATTACCCGTTGTCGCTTATGTTTCTCTAACCCCCGGTTTTCGCGGTGGGACCTTTAAAGATTTGTCTCCGTTATTTTGGGTCACCCTGTATAAAGCTATTAATTTTCAAAATAAACTTTAAAAAATAAAAAAATATATATATATATTTTTTTTTCATTTTTTATGTAATTTTCTTATTTTTTAATTTTTTAATCAAAAAAATTTTTCCCTCAAAACATCAGAAATTCCCATAAAAATAAAAAATATTACCCTCAGGCAAATAGTCTATCCTCTCCAGTTTCTATATTCTCCGAAAACCCCCAATTTGCTCGAATCTTCAAGGTGAAAACAATCGGATCCGTGAAGAGTTTTGTCGGTATTCCCCTTTTTGCAGCGCCTCGAGAGATTCGCGCAGATAAAGTTCACGCGTCTAAAGAGGTATCCGTGAAGGGAATAATCATGACATAAATGACTATTAGAGCGCGAAAAATCTTTGATGAAACCGGCGATGATGGATTTACAGGAATATGAAGGTTGATTCCGTTGATGAATTCGGCTGGAAATGGGGAATATTAGGGGTGGAGGTAAAATACGGGCGGATGGCGAATTTTCTCGAAAAAAATCTTTAAAAAAATAAAAAAAAAATAAAATTTTAAAATAAAAAAAAATAAATTAATAATTTTTTTTAAAAAATAAAAAAACGAATTAATAAAAATTTTTTTTTTTAAATTTTATTTTATTTTATTTTAAATTTTAATTAAAAAATTATTATGTAATTATTTAATTAAATTATTATTATTTTATTTAATAATTTTAAATTTTATTTTACAATTGGAAATGGCAAATTTTAAAGTGTAAAATACGCTCAGCCA